TAAAATTTGTTATTATTTAGTTTGTTGAAACCGTGAAATTGTCTGATGATGACATGATTTAACATTATACCTATGTCTTAAAATTATTGTACATCTTACAAAATAATAGAGACATTTCGGGTTGGTTAACCCGTTAACCATTCCTGACTATACATCTGTTGTGTATAAGAATATATAAAATGCATATTGTATATTTGCGCTCTACGTACGAAAAACTAGTGTAATATATGGCATTGCACAATAGGCATGAAAAGTTTTCTTGAAATTAATTATCGGTAAATTACATTTTTTACAACTAAAAGTTTCGAGGAGACTAATGGATAGCGATTACTAAAGGAAGTATACGGGGGGGGGGGGGGGGAATTGATTTTAAGATTTATAAAACAAGGAAAGTTTTCCTAATACAGCAATTATAAACCGACGACTGTACGAGAAGCTGAACTTTGGCGACGACGACAAAAAGTAACAGTTTCAAGGCGTAGATGAAAAAAATAGGAATTAAAAATAAACTTAAATAACAAGTACACGAAAGCAATTGGCAAACGATGAAGGATTGTTATATTCTTACAAAATAAGTTTTATGGTAGTGAAGAAATTTAGATGTTTTTTTGTTTTTGTTTTAAAAGGAGATTTTTTCTTTTATTTTTAAATAAAATCCGTATGGTATTTAATTATCGTAAAAATAAAATAAATCATAAAACACTATATATCATCCAAATAGCACAAAAATAAAAATAAAATCAGTATAAATACGTTTATACTACAAAATTGCTATTATTATTACAACGGGAAAAGTCTCAGCGGGTGGGAAGTAACACTTTTTAAACATTTTTGTTATGCTTTTATCTTTCACAATAACAGAATTGATCCAGAAGATTATTTTTTTATATTTTGCTTAAGCAGTTTTATAAAGAAATTCATGATATTTAATTTTTTCACGACTATTTACCGCAATATCCGTTGTTTCTCAGTAATTAAATAATAACGATAGCCAATAAATACACAATTTTGTAAAATTTCACGGATTACTATAATGATACAACACTTATAGCCTATCTTGATTAAATGATAAATATGCAAATATTCCTATCATTATTTTGTGATCACAAAAATCACAAAATTCACCAGATCTAAGATTTATAATTTTATACCTTGATTTATAAAATTAATGTCACGTACCCAGGAAACAAGTATTTCACGTTATATTCAAAAATACTATTATGATTTATTATACAATAATAATAATAAAAAAAAATAATAATAATATATAAAAATATTAAGAAATACATATTAAGTTGAATGATACGTTTAAATAATTAATTTTAGAATATAAAAACAAGCTGTCTGTTGTCTTAAAGCTCTTATCAAATCAACCATTGACATTTGACCGTAAAAAACTTGTTTGTGTGATTCGTGTTGTAAATTGGTCAACTGACGCTCGCACGTGTATTAGTTCACGTCAAAATATTTTTAATTATGATAAATTTACTGTGAAAGTTAAATAATTATAAAAATGATAAACTAACTTTAATATAATTAATAAAATCATAGACATTTTGGTCAGTTAAATTGAGTTTAATTTGCATAATTATATGCAAACAAAAGAAATATTATCCCACAAATAAATTAATATATTATAGTAGATAAAAGTTATGAAAATTATTTATCATTCTATAATGATTGATTGATGTATAATTATAATAATGATATTCATAACCCACTTGATTCAAAAATCCACATCTAGTCTACTCAGTTTAAGTCACGTAAATCGTTTGCTAATAAAAATATTTGAATACACTTTTTTCACCAATGATTTGTTGTTATATTACTAATTTACGAGTATATTTTAGATATAAAAATAATTCTGATTTCAATAATTTTTAAAAATAACTTTTTCATTGAAATTATTTTGTTGATCAAATAATAAATTAGGTTGTACGATAAGAAAAATTTGGAAGCTATTTAAATGTAGACGTGAAGAAAATTGTTGAAAGTTAGCTGGATAGAAAAGAAATAAATTATAGATACATCAAACCAAGTAGAGGAAAAATGAATCCAGCTAAATATCATAAAAGAGGAGAGAGGAAATATTGTTGATTACCCGATGAGGAACAACCCGTTTATGACAAATATATTCGAAGAACTAATAAATGGACAAAATGGAAAGGACAGACCAAGGAAGGTGAATATAAAACAATTATAACAAAACCTGACTGTAACCGATATGTGGATATGAAAAGATATGAAAAGACTGGCTTTTAACAAAGAATAATGGAGAATGAGATTTGCAACAATATAACAAGGCCCTAAGTAAAGAATAAGATCAATTAAATAAAGTTATAAATAAAAATTAATCTACAGATTTCAAAAATAAACAAAATAAATTGATTAAAAATAACTAACAGCAATTTGAATTATTCATGGTAAAAACCGATATATATATATATATATATATATATAATAAAAGTATCAGGCGTACCTGCATATCTATTTTAAGTAATTTAATGGTGAATGAGAGTTTTGAAAGTTACATATTTTAATAATAAAACATAAATCCTTGACTAAAATTTTAGTTTTGAGTGTACTGATTAGCTAAAAAAAAAAAATTAAAAAAGTGTTTCAAGACGTAAAAGAATTATATTTTGTATTCATTAGTGGTGGATAAATTGTATTCTTATATATATATTATAATAGATGAGCGTTAATTTAAAATTTCAAACAACTGAAGATACTAGATTAAAACTTACTCTTTTACACTTTTTATTAAAAATTAAAAATATACTCGTACATATAATAAAAAGTAAATTGTTGAACAAATTTTCTTTAATATGCCTATCTACTTTCAACAGTTTCAATAAGTAAGAAAATAACAAAATAACATTATGAAAAATAGAAACTATCAAGTTGTTTGTAGTTTATGAAAATCGATTTAGCATAATTGCACACAAAATAAATCATTATTGAATTATAATATTGACAGAAATATATATATATGTACATTTCGAAAAGTTAAGATATGTTAGACAACAAAAAACTAAAAACTAGGTCAAAATTATCCAAATTTAGCTACTTAAGTTTAAAATAAAATACGTGACTACTGACTTTGGAAGTTAATAATTTATTATGAGTGTCTAAACCGACACAAGTATTTCATAATTAAAAAAAACTTTCTCCCCTTCGCCTGCTACGATTAAAATTAATCAATTTATCTAAATGACCTTCGGAAAATGAATAAAAGATTTTTTAGTTTTAAGTATAATTTGTAAAAATACCTTATAACATGTATCTATACTAGTTTTAAGTATTTCAATCAGTAAGTAAATCAATATTTTATAGTAATTGGCCTTTCGATAGTTATATAAAGTTATCAGCGAATATTGTTTATTATGAATGATATGGTTCTAAAGTATATTTTAATACTAATACTATACTATAATGTAAGTGTAGCTCACTTAAAAATAAATAATTTGAAATAGTTATGGCACATATAAGAGGATTAAAAATTTTAAATATTATTATATAACAATGCTAAATCACATAATAAGACCAAAAATATATAGAATAACATTTAAATGTAACATTTACTAGTATTTTAAATTACTTAAAAAAAAAAATTAAAATATAAATAAAATTAAAATTAGATAAAATTAGTCATATTCATAACCACAAAATCAAATAAATATTATTGTTTTTCAGATAGATAACTTAAAATAATTGAATTCATATATATATATATATATATATATATATATATATATATATATATATAAGAAATAATATTGAATTTTCGATTTTATTATTATTATTATTATTATTATTACTCATTCCATAGTAAAATATCAATGTATATTTATACTATTTCCATAAAAATCAAATATGATTCATGTAATTATTATTTACAATTTACCACGAAAATAAACTATAACCTCGATTATAACTGTATTCTTTTTATGTAAATTAAGTTATACATTTTCGAGTTGTACTTCTAGATTTATTTTAAATGCTTATATGTATAATTTTTTCTTTGCATTATAACTTATTTTTAAAGCTTATTATGATATATCAAATTTAATTTGGTGAATACTTTACTTAAAAGCTATATAAGTAACAAGTAACAAAGATATAGTGATATTGTATAAGAACTATAAGTACTAAAAATTTGGGTTTGACGTTACACGCCTTAAAAATATTTTAAGGCAAATAACGGAGTCTGGAAAGGGATTTTTTTGCTCGAAGGCATATAAGGAATATGCAAGAGTAAAGAAGTACATGTATTTTAAATATTATTGATGGCTGGGGTAAAGGATTTCGAGAAATTAAATATTTATTTCGTATAGCTAAAACCAAATTAAATTAGATTTAATTTGCTATAACTTTTTCTTTATCAATTTTTTCATTTATTTTCAATTTTTTTGAATTTTTAAAAAATTATTAAATTTGAATGTTATCAATGCTAGACTTGGCAAATTTAAAGAAGGGAGACACTATTTACTTAAAAAAAGAACGTGTCCAAAACTGGCTAATCGTTATAATTATAGCGTAATAATAATAGTAAGACGCTAAAATTTCTGATATTAGTTGGAGTACTCCGTCCCCCTGCGACCCCCCCTCAAGTCGAGAACTGAATATAATATTTTAAATTGATAAATTATTTTATTACTTTGTACGTGAACTCAATATATACGGTTTATACACAGTTTTATTTATATAAACTAAGTAATTGAAATAATTTACATGATTATAAACTTCATTAACTCTATAGATATAATACTCTACTAAAATGTATAAACAAGACAACTACAAATATATTTTATAAATCACTTTAAAAAAACAAATATGTAAATTAATAAATATTTTTAAACTGTAGACAGTAATGAATTAACTAATGTAATAACCTCATCAAAAATATTTAAATAAATTATACATTATATATTTATAAACTTATAAACCACAAAAAAACATCGATGATAATTATAATATATCCATAAGATGTACTGTACCTTTGTTTCCTTTCGATATGCTGGGCGATCAGATTACTGTAGTAATTCTCAAGTGTGACTTTTGCCTTGGTCGCCTTGTCCAGAGTATGTCCGCTCAACCGGATACCACTTTCGGTCGCAGCACTCATTTCCAATACACCTGCGAACAAAACACCATAAATAATTATAGAAAATCGATATAAATAGAACGAAACGTAATACAAAGCCGATTAAATCATAAAATTTGTATCGTTGATATATAATATTTTTAAATAATATATTTCCGTGCACTATATAGCATTATTTTCCACCCCATTGTGTCTCCGTGGTAAGAAGCTTTATTGGATTTCCGGAGGGTCCGGTTACCCGCACAAATATATAAAAAGGGTGAAGGACAAATAAAATCTATAAGTGCAAAATATACGTTTTATTATTATAATTTTTTTTAACTTAGGTCATCATATTTGTTACTAATCCGAATTAAACCGGTATCTAAACTATACGTGTAAGACGATCATGTCAGTGATTAACATTTTAATACTATTAAGACGTATTAGAAAAAACTTCTCAAAATTAATTGAAAAAAACAAATACATAAAAATAAACCAATATTTCCACTGATCGAAATTTTTAAATAATTTGTTTGTAATATATTATAATTGTATATGATTTCAAAAAGAAAAACGTAAAATTATTTTAATACATCGATATCGAATATAGAAAGTGTATGTAACATAGTTAAAATTAACGTTTTGAGAAAACTTATAAAAGTATTATTCTGTATACTCTATAATTTATTGTTATAACTATTGGTTCTATGTAAGGTTTTTTTACTATACAAAGAAATTAATATGTATGATTATAAATTAATGCAAATATATAAGTTCGAGAAGGGAGTTACTCGTTTCGTCGGTCAACAAGGGGAATAACAGTAATTTAACATGTTTCATGGCATACATAATTTATTAGTTTATTACTTAATTTAATATATATCGGTGGTTCTTAACTTGTAGTCCGCGACCCTCTAAAGGTCAGAGATACTCATGTCTGGGGTCCGCGACAACCCTAACACATAACATACGGCAATACGTGGCATGAGTGCATTATTACAATATTGTTGGATTTTATCAAAAACTTGTTGTCTCAACCATCGCATTAAACTAATAAAAATGAAATTTTAAGTATATTAAAAAATAAAAATTAAAATTAAAATAATTAAATTTAAGTCAATTGAAAAATTAAGTGTAAAAAAATAATTATAAATATGTATGTTTTGTTATGTCTAATAATGAAATTTATTATATAAAATAATTATTATAATTTTAGATTTAATAACAAGATGTTTTGCAAAAAAAAAATGTATTCGAAAAAAAATTAGTAAGAGGGTCCGCAATTTTTAAAAATCTTTCATCAGGGGTCTGTGATCTACAAAAGGTTAAGTACCACTGATATATTTAATACTTCTAAGTGGAAATTAAAAATGAATTGATTACCTAACCTAGTATTTATTTTTTTCTTACGTCATTTCTACTTAAAAGTTATTTCAGGACGCGAATAAATAATTGATATGAATCGTATAGCATACACATAAACCGTCATTTATATTATATTAGATATAAACGTCGATTTTGATAAATAGTACAATAGTCGGGTATTACTGCTACAATTGGTGCACTTAAATGATGGTCTTAAACGCGTTTAAAAATGTATCGGCCAATTATTTTTTTCTTCAAATAATCTTGTTTGGTAATAAAAAAAATTGATATCAATATGTATTTTGAACGATTTATCGAAAACTCAAACATGAACGAATTGCGAGCCTCGGAAAAACACTGGCACGAGCAATGATGTGATCGTTAGGTCGATTAGAGACGCATTTGCACACAGAAAAATGATATAGCACACGTAAAACATAATTTCTATTCGCGTATAGTATATCCAAATTTTAACGATAAAAAAATATCACAAACTGAGGGATTTTATTGGAATCACAATCGCGTTTTGGATCAATATCGTGATTTGATGTCATTTCATTGAAAGCCGAAACTAATATCGAAATTTCAAAGAATTAAGTGCAAACGAGCGGTATAAGCAGATGCTCTATTCTTGGTCACTCATCTCACTCTGCTTATTTCAACGTTAAACAACGATGAATTATCATTATACATTTAAAAGCAATAATAAATTATACTGCACTGAGAAATAAACACGAACACAGCAAGGTGTATAATTTTCAAGACATACATCAAATACTATGTATGGCAGCAAAATACTCAAGACTTTTCCCATCGCGTTATTAAAATTTGAAATGTACCTAAAGGTAAGGTTTAGGTTAGATTTGGTTAGGTTTATAACACATTGCACAAATTTAAAAAAATTATTTCAATACAATTTAAAAATATCTATTCATGATATTTATTAAGTTTAAACAGTAATTACATTGAGATAGGAGTTATAAGCAGTAATATACAATTAGGTTTATTTGCACTGTTGAGTCTTGTTATCCAGTATAAGACTAAAACATTAAAATTTAAACTTTAAAATCAGGTTTGACGGAAGAAATTTGTGAAAACTAGTTTTAAGGAATTTGGAGTTCTAACTGTAATAGAATATTAATAAATATTAAGAGATTTTTGAAAAAAAATCGCAAACAAATAAGAAAACATTTTATCACTGCCCGTACAATCGAAAAACGTACGCCATAACCCAATGTAGAGAGATAAAAAACGAAACGTATTGGATTATTTTACGCGCATGATAAAAGTTTAGTCAGTCTTCTTTATTTTTATTATATTTCATGCACGCAAAGGACATCAATAAATTACACTTACATTTATTGTCGTCACAATAAAAGTTGGACAACAACGCGGATCTGGCGAACAATTCAAAGTACGGATCACATCTCAAATAATAATTGTAACGGCACATGTGTACGCGCGTGCGATGCCGAAGAATATTTCGTATAGATGTGCGGGGGCATATAACGATCGATGCGTTACGGGTCGAAAAACGCATATATATATGAATACATATTAGGTATGTATTGTACGTTTGTATAAGCGCGTGTGCGCCATACATCGCATTACGTTGCGAGAAAAGGAAACCCTGCGGGAAAGGGTTATGGGGAAAATAGGAGCCGGCGCAGGCATAGTACACGAATTATACACGTGTAGCGTTGTCCGTGAAAAACGTCTATTGATTTCAAAAACCGCTGCCAGCAGCGGAGACCTGTTGAGCGACAACGAGGCGCCGACGGCCGCCAGAACGCGCGCGGGGGGGGTTAGCTTTATTATATTGTACGAGACGATGAACCATCATCATCATCATCCGTTGTCGCCGGCATCGATTATCCGGTCCTGGCGGCTTCGATCCGATTGGATCCGATTTATGCCGTCTTAAGACGGGCATAATAATAATAATAATTTATTGTACCTTGCATATGTTACATATAACACTGCGATATTTGCACACATATAATATAATAAAAAAAAAAAAAAAAAAAAATTAGCCCGTTTTAGCTATTTCTAGAAAATAAACGTAATAACAAAAAAATAAAAACCTAACTGTATAATATTTTTCAACTCAAGCGCGTATAAACACGTTTGAAACGTGTTGATTGTTAAGTCTGTAAAGAGTATTACTCCGCAACTGTACTTAGGAGTGGCGTACAATATATTTTAATTTTTTTTATTTATGATTATCTATCTCTTTTAAGCTATGATTGGGTTAAAAACAGAAAGTATATATATATTTTTAATTATTTTCTAGCAGATTAATAAAAAAACAATAAAAACGTTAAAACAGATTACAAGAATACTACAACAATATAGTATATTAGAAATATAATTAAAACAAACAAATATTAACTACGCAGAACTTAAATATATTATATATAAATCTAAATCCAAAAATAACCATATATACATAATCTTTTTAGCATTACTTTGCATATCATGTATGCTTTTTATAGGTACTGAATATAATTGAAATGCGTAGGGCCTAAATAATCAATGAATGATTAAACAAAAGATTTGTTCACACATTTAACTGAAATATTATTCATTAAATACTCTTTTTTATTCACAAGTGAATAAATATAAATATAATTGTAATTTTTTTAATAAAGATATTTAATTGGCAATACACTCAAATCTTCATCATTTTGATTTGTCGATCCATTTAGAGTACGTTTATTTAAGGAAATTCTAACAATATTATTTTGATTGCCTTGATATTTTTTTAGTACACTATCATTTAAACCACCCCACACTAAAAGACGTACTGATATAAAAAATATACTCTATACATAATTTGTTTAGTGAACAAATTTTTCAGCAATTAAAATAATACAAAATAAAAATATTAAAGAATTGTAATCGATGTCTAATAAAGATAATTTAAACACAGATCTTTGACGGAAAATGTTTATCACGAGACAGTAACAAAAATTCAACGCGAAATATTTTAATCGATATTTTCCTCTATTCCAATAATAATCATTACCAAGCATCTTTTTTGGGATGAAAACATTTTTCCGATGTATAGATGTATACATTATACTAAACGCTAGCAAATGTTATTAATTTTTATTTCAGAGGAAATTTATCTGTAATTATAAATAAAAACTCATAATACACATTCATACCGGTATATTGCTTTGTGACCGGTCTGCGAAGAAAGCACGGCTGAGAAGTTGCTTCAAGACCCTACAGGATCTATCGCACTAATATATACATATACAAGTACAATGCCCACACACGTGTGCCACATCACAATACATAATAATAAAATCATATTAAGGATATAAACACGTCGTCTTCGACAGTCACATAATGATAATAATATAATAGTAATATGAAACCCATAGGATATTGTAACGTGCAACCATGCCACCACTAACGGAAATGCTTCCCGCAAGACATCTATGTATAATATATGTAACACACACACATGTATATATACACACAGTTATTCAAAAAGTTCCGGGACTAATTTAAAAAAAAAATTCAAAAAACGAGATAAGGCAAACAATTGTATTTAATGTTTAACAAAGTCTCCCGTCCTTTCTATATACATATCAAAACACTCGTATAGTTACTGGAAAGCTATGGAGATAATTTTCTGGAATTCTTCACAAAAGTCTTGTCACATTTTGTTGGA